TCATTGATGGGCAAAGCCCATCAATAGGCTCTCAATCTCACTGCTATTCCATCACTGCCTTGTGTGCTATGTCTCTTCCACTGTAGTTCTGCTTCCTAGGCATTTACATGGTGGGAGTGGGTGTGATGCTGCTCTTCTTCTCCCTCCCCTCGCAGCAATTGTGGCAGCCAACACCTTCCCAAAGCTAGCTGCTCTGTGCACATTCACATAGCAACTGGCTTTGGGAAGCAGTTGGCAGCTATGATTGTTCATTCCCACCCTCTCTCCCAGAAGGTGGCATTTGACAGTACAGAAAACAAATCATGCAATCATGGATCTCCAAATTGCTATCATGGGGGAAAGTATGGTAAATGATGCTAAACTAGTAAGCTTCCATTCTTCAACTAGCACGATTGTGGCAGGACAACAAGCTGGTGTGATAAAGTCCTAAGTCATTTGTTAAACTTAGGGGGACCTTGTGAATTACGTAGGTTTTCCTTTGGGAAGGAATACTCAGAGATGGTTTTGCTAGTTCCTTCCTATGAAATAGAGCCTACAACACCTGGTATTCCTTGGCAGCCTCACATCCAAGTGCTAACCAGGGCTGACCCTGCTTAGCTTTCAAGATCAGACAGGACCTGGTGCTTTCAGCCTATTTAGGCCTCCTACCCTGGTTCATAAACCATCCTTAATTTTAGCCCACTATTACTATCAACACACCCAAGCAGACATCGCAATAGATTGGAGCTGGAATCTTCTGGACTGTAGAAAGTGGCAAATGGTCTGACATTGGGCTGTCACCCTTTCCCAAGTAAGAGTATCTCTGACTCCTCTACATTTTAAAAGTAAATCTTTCTGTGGGAAAATGTGGGTGTTCAGTTTTAATTCTGAATGAGAGACAATGCCAGTTATCCTCATGAGATGTGAAATGAATGCTTTAAAAAAACTTTTAAGGTCAAGGTTTGTATTTCTGGCTCCCTTTCTCCCTGCATCTCCTCAAGTTGCTTTGAAATAAAAGAGAAGCCTTCTCTAAAATATTCCCAGCATGTATGGTTATGTAAGATGAGTTTAATATGAATTCCTCAGTGTGCTTTTGAATTTCCATATGTGTTTTTATTATTATTATTTGGGGGATGGATTTCAAATGCACATTTGTATTTGCAATAATAATAATAATAATAATAAAATTTATTTGTACCCCGCCCATTGGTAATCCAATCTGGGCGGCTTTACAGTTAAAAGATGCAAATTACAAAAATATACAATGTAAACACCCCCCTCCCCCCCTTAAAACTGGATTAAATTAAGACAATGTAAAACAATAATTCAAACTGAATCTATTAAAATATATAGCCATCCTGCCCAAGACTCCGTGAGCCTGGCTTGACGATCCTCCCATCACATGATGGGGCCACGTAAGGATCGTCTCATGGAGGATTGTTAATCAAGGGCGGGAGGATCAATTCAATATATCTAGTCTGGAAAGGCCTGCCGGAAGAGATCCGTCTTGAGAGCCTTTTTAAAGCTGTCTAAAGATGTTAAAAGACGGATCTCGTCCGGCAGGCCGTTCCAGAGCTTAGGCACAATGACAGAGAACGCCCCCTGAGAGGTAGTTACAAGCCTCGATTTCTGTGGCTGAAGCAAGTTCCTCCCGGAGGATCGAAAAGCGCGGGGAGGATTGTACGGGAGCAGGCGGTCCCTGAGATATCTTGGACCCAAACCATTTAGGGCCTTAAAGGTGATAACCAACACCTTGTACCTGGCTCGGAAGCTAATAGGCAGCCAGTGGAGGGACTTCAAAACTGGAGTTATATGATCCCTCCGAGATGTACCTGACTGCCATGTTCTGTACTAGCTGTAATTTCTGAACCAGGGACGAGGGAAGCCCCATGTAGAGCGCATTGCAGAAGTCAAGGCGTGAGGTTACCAACACGTGCACCACAGTCTCGAGGTCCCTTACTTCCAGAAACGGGCGCAGCTGGCGTATCAGCCGAAGCTGATAGCAGGCGCTCCTGACCGTTTGCAACACTTTTTAAAAAAGCCTTCCTCCCTTCCTCCCTCTGGTGTCTCTCTTGGTTATAAAATGTATCTGCTACTAGACTACATCTGATGTGTTTGTATGTGCCTTTAAGTCACCTGTAGACTTATGGCAAATTTGGGAGATATGTAGTTAAACCTGATTTTTTAAGATTATATATATATAAAGAAAACTTCTGCTCTGTCAAGGATGGCAGCTCCTACCACTCAGGGAAATGGGAAACATGAAAAAAGAGCTCAGTTCTGCTGGGCAAAACTGTGAGAAAAAAGGTTCACAGAGAATAAGGAACAGATTGTCCCATCTAACTCTACCCTCCTGGATCTTGGGATTATGTTTTGGTCTGTTAACGCCTCATACCCCCAACCAGCATGGTTAGTGAGGAATTTGGGCAGCTGAAGTAAAAAAGAAAGTAACCTCCCCAGACTCTGTCTTCAACCTGTCTCCCCTTCTTTCTTTGTCAACTGTCATCTGAAAAACTTCCTCAGAGTAAGTAAGCTCAAGTCTATGAAAGCTTATCCTACCAACTTCTTTCTTCCACTTGATCTCAAAGGTGCTACAAGATCTCTTTGCATATTAATAATACAGTGGTCCCTTGTTATCTGCTGTGGTTTGGTTTCAGGATCCCCCATGGATACCAAAATCTGTGGATGCTCAAGTCCCATTAAATACAATGGCATAGCAAAATGATGTCCCTTATATAAAATGGCAAAATGAAGGTTTGCATTTTGGAATTTAACATTTTAAAAATATTTTCAAATGTTTGAATTTGTGGTTTTAAAAAATTTGTGGATAGGGAAAACTGTATGTAATATAACAAATAATTTACTTCCACCTCTCCTGTTTGTGATAAGTAGACCTGAGACAATATAAATGGAGTTTCAAGGAGATTGGGATTGAGGAGAGTGACAACAAAGCATGTGCATGTACCCACAGAGACAGCTTTGCTACCGCAACAACTACTACTACCTGCTCAGCCAGGTAGAACACAACCCATTCTACCTGGCCGAGCAGCTGAGGTTGATGGGATTAGGGCCCAGGGTGAGGCAGTGTACCTGCAGGCCATGGAGAACAGGGTGCACCCTTTGAGCTGCCTGCAGGTGATTGCAAGAAGGTGAGTGGGGTGTTGCCACCCAGTTATATAATACACAATTTGTTGCGGGTGCGGGGAAGAGCAGGAAAAATCCTGGGGGTCTTTGGATATAGATATGGCTGAAGCACCCAAGAATATAGCAAAGTGAAGGCTATGCAATTCAGAAAATACTTTTTTTCTTTCTTTTTTTGCAAAACTTCTAGCATCTCTCCTTCCCCCAGCTCTTATTTCTGGCTAGCTTAGCAAGCGGCACTGTTTTTACAGCTGCAAGCCTCACATGCCTTGGAAATGGCATTACCTCAGTCCTCCCTCTCCCTACCCCTGGCCCCAGTAAGCCAGCAGCAGCAGGGTATCAGTTGCTTGGCAAGGCTATTCCGAGACCAAAACTTTCTGCTTGACAGGAATAAAGTCAAAGGAGAGCAACAGAAGGATGGTTCAAGTGGAGCACCTGAGCAAACTGGCTTTCTATAAGTAATTCATGTCTTTTTGGCTCTCTTTGTCTGCTTTGCTTCATCTGTTCTTGCTCTGAGTGCTTGGAGGTAAGTGTGTGTGCATGGATTTGTGTACACGCATGTCCCTTTAAGTCACCTGTTGACTTATGGTAACCCCATCGATTTCATATAGGTTTTCTGAGGCAAGGAACACAAAAAGGTGGTTTGCCATTGCCTTCCTCTGAATGTAGCTATTCCCTGCTGGACTCCCATCCAAGTACTAAGCTCTCTAGAAATGCCAAGGCACTTGAAATTACAGGTTGAGTCTCCCTTATCCAGAATTCCAAAATCTAAAATATTCCAAAATCCAAAACTTTTTTCAGGGGTTGCTAAGATAGGAACACTTTTGCTTTCTGATGGTTCAGTGTACACAAATTTTGTTTCATGCACAAAAGTATTTAAAATATGGTATAAAATTACCTTCAGGCAATGTACAGTTGCCCCTCTGTTCTCACGGACTTGAGATCCGCATCCCTTACCTATCTGTGGGCAGTGAACGGAGGGGAACAAAATGGGGCATGCACGCCTCCATTCAAGCCTATGGGGCTTGAATATATGCAATTTTCCGTTCTTGCAAGGGGGTCCAGAATGGATCCCCTGTGATAACGGAAGGTTGACTGTATATAAAGTGTAAGTGAAACATAAATAAATTTTGTGTTTAGACTTCGGTCTCATCTCCAAGATGTCTTATTATGTTTGTTGCTGTTTGTCTTCAGGTCATTTTCAACTTATGCTGACCCTAAGGCGAACCTACCACAAGTTTTCTTGGCAAGTTTCTTCAGGGGGTATTTGCCATTGCCATCCTCTGAGGCTGAGAGAGTGTGACTTGCCCAGGATCACCCACTGGGTTTCATTGCTGAGTAAGGATTCAAACCCTGTTCTCCAGAGCCGTAGTCCAACACTCTAACCACTGCACCATGCTGGCTCCACATCTTAGTATATACAAATACAGTTAGTCCAAAATCCCCCCCCCACCAAAAAAATCCAAGATCCTAAATACATTTCAGATAAGGGAGACTCAACCTGCAATTTTTGTCCACAGCAATGAAAGTATAAACTGCATAACATTGTGGTGGTTATTTAATGAGAAATGATTCTATCCATTACACACTGTCTCTGAAATTTTTCATGTCACTTTTTATTATTCCTCTCTATAGTAACCTCCAGCAGTGGATGAGGAATATCACATGGTTTGGTTGCTGCCTGGGAAGTCATGCATTGTTGCAGATGCTAAATTGATGACAAGATGGACTGCAAGGTAATTGTTTCTCCCACAGGCAAGTAGGTTCTGTCATTTGGATAGTTTGGAAACTTTTGTTAAACTACTATAATGTAAGTATTTAGTGGCTTTTGAAAAAAGTGAAACTATAGTGCTGCTTTCAGAAGCTGTAACTATATTTGAGCCAGGGTGGTGTAGTGGTTTGAGTCTTGGACTGTGACTCTGGAGACTAGAGTTCAATTCCCAGCTCAGCCATGAAACCCATTGGATGACCTTGGGCAAGTCACATGCTCTCAGCCTTAGATGACGGCAATGGCAAACCTCCTCTGAACAAATCTTGCCAAGAAAACTCCACGATAAGTTTGCCTTAGGATAGCCATAAGTTGAAAATGACTTGAAGGCACACAACAACAACAAAGCTCCACAGAACATAAGGAAAACTTCTCTTGAGAAAATATGCACAGGATCATGCTGAGCACAGGAGTCAGTATGCATGGCAAAAGCACAATCCCCTTTGCTTAAAAGGTTGGGGAGGCACTCTCTGTTCATAATATTGCTACAGGGATTTGTGAAGCATAAAATTAACTGCATTAAATACCATACACTTTACTGGGCTCTGTGTGTGTTTAAAGATTGCCTTGAAGGGTGGTGGACTCTCTATCTTTGGAGGTCATAAATTAAGGTTGAATGGACATCTTTCAGGCATGCGTTTGTTATATATTACTGGATGGCAGAGGGCTGGACTAGATGATTCTAACTCTGTATATGAGATCAGCCTTACAAACCTTGCTGAGAAGCTTCCCTCCTCCCTTCGCTGAAATTTGAAAATGTAACAAGCTGAGTAATAACAAGAGCGCTGGGGGAAAGCATATGCAAAGTTCCCGTTGAACCCCATTGACTAATCCCTGCCAGCATCCGCACTTCTGGGATTGAGGGACAGGGCTTTTCTTCCAGGAAGGCTCGACTGCCATCATTTATCTCTTCTGGGGAGAATTTAAGCCACTGTCCTGGCATATAGTCAGGATTTGTACAGAACTTTGGCAGTTTGGCTCATGTCCACAAACAACTTACTCAAAGAAGAAATTTTTAAGGTGAGATTTCAGGAAGTGGGAAAGGAACCTGGTCTGCTGGTTTGAAAGGGAGAAGCTGTCCCACAGTCTAAGCAAACTTCATGCAAACAGGAATGGCATCAAGGCCATTTTCTCTATCTGTTGCCTTTCAATGTCAGTAAAGTAAAATCCAAACCAGATAGTTTCTCCCTAGTCTGTATAAAATTAGATTTCTAGCCATGGGGTTGGCTAGGATAACTGGAGATGGGGAGAACTGGGGAGGGGACTTAGAAAAGGTTAACTTCCTAATTAATCCATATTTCCCAGCCAAAAGCAAGCAATACAAGAGAGGGATGCCAATGACAACGTCTTGAAACATTCATCAGCTCCGAGAGACTTTGCCACCCGCCAAAGGCCCAAAATGGAACATGGAAAAAATGTCTAGGCCATCTGCCCCACTTGGACAAATGGCCCATGGGGCCATAAGTGCTTCCAATGCTGATTCTTTCTTCTGCACCGAGTGCCAAAGAAGGTGAGGAAAAGGCACACAGCTTCTCCTGGCGCCAATAGTATACCCTACAAGTGTCCTGATTTTGCAGGGACAGTCCTGATTAATCCTCTACTGACCCACTTTTTCAGCTGCTTTCAAAATATCCTAGTTTCTCACTCCTTTCTGTCTTAATTTTCAGTTTATGCCCATTGCTGCAAACTGACTTCAACATACAAGTAGTTTGCATTCAGTTAACTCAGGGGACAACACTCTGATGTTGCTTGGCCACGCATGTCCAAGTTTTGATTTATGAATGATAGGTTTACCTTAGGGTCGCCATAAGTTGGAAACAACAACAAAACAAGGCACACAGCCTGAGATAATTTGCTGCCTGAGTGATATACTGAACAACAATTCCAGCACCACACTTCTACATACAGAAGCCAACCAAGCCAATAGTAGAGTCTTATTTCAACACTGGCAATGAGAGGGCATCCTTCACTACAACTGAGAACAGCAAGTAAATTTCAAGGGGGTGGCACAGGGCAAACAAAGCTACACAACAATTAAATCCTTCAGTGATTGGTGCCTGTGTCTAGTTCACTTTCCCAATAGTCATCTTCTGCCTGATGGGTAAGCCAAGCCTTACAAGGATATTGAAGAAGATGCTGAGAACAAATGGATAATTGCCCGGATAAGTATAGCTGGAAGGAATTAAAGACGGACAGGGAAGTTTATTTTTCAAAATAATTAGTCACAGTTATAATTCCAGCTCTACCATAATATTTAGTAGCTATCATAGTTATTTGTTTATCAAAATATTTATTTCATTCTTTCTTTTGAATGAAATTGAGCTTAGAGACCCACATGGGTTTAATTGGGTGAAAGTATTTGAGGAAGCAAAGAGATTAAGGTTAGGTAAGAAGATAACTGTGTCAGGGAAATCTAAATGTAAATTTGTAAATTGAGTAGTATATATATATGTTGTTTATGTATGCTGTATGTTTATGTTTGTTATATATGTTGTTTATGTATGTTGTATGTTTTTTATTTATGTTTCTGTTTTTAATAAATAAAATCTGGAAAAAAATATTTATTTCCTGCCCTATATCCAAGGATCATAGGGATTTGTGACTTGCCCAAGGTCACCTAGTAGGTTTCACTACTAAGCTGGGAACTGGACCCTCCAGAGTTGCAGTCCAGCACTCAGACCATTATACAATAAAGGTACACAGAGTTGCTGTTTTAAATGCTCCTAACAGAAGTGGAATATGTGGCCTTCCAGATGTTGTTTGACTACAGTTCTCATCTTCCCTCACCTTTGGTTGTCCTGGCTGAAGCTGATGGGACTACAGTCAATAACCACTGGAGAGCCATGTATTTTTCACCTTCATTTATAGCAAACAGATTACTCAGTATGTAGAATCAGTGAGTTAATCATAAATAATTAACTCTGTCAGAACAGAACAGAACAAAGAGTGGCTCCCAATAGGCAAAAGAGTCAGGCAAGGCTGCATCCTATTACCCTATTTGTTCAACCTATATGCTGAAAACAGACTTAAGGCCTTTACAGACTGCCAGAAATAATGCAGTTTGAGGCCACTTCAACTTTATTGGCTCAGTGCTAAGAATCATGGGAATTGTATTTTTTTTTCTGGGACATTGAACCTTCTCTGTCAGAGAGCTCTGGTGCCACAATAAACTACAGTTCCCATTATTCCTTAGCACTGAGCCAGGCAGTTAAAGTGGCCTCAAGTTGCATTATTTCTGGCAGTCTGTAAAGGCACTTAGAAATCAGAAGGAGGAGGAGTGAAGATAGGAGAAAGAAACATCAACAACCTAAAATATGCAAATGACACCATAATATTGGCGGAAAACAGCACAGGCTTGGAACAGTTAATAAAGAAGGTTAAAGATGAAAGTGCAAAGGCAGGTCTGATGTTGAACATAAAGAAAACAAAAATAACAACAACAACAAAAAACAAATTCAATCTAGACAATGAGGAAATTAAGAATTCCCATTCCCAGGATTGACCAGAATGATGACCGCAGTCAAGAAATAAGAAGACTAGGAATGGGAAGGGCAGCTACAAAAGAACTAGAAAAGATCTTGAAGAGTAAAGACATACAACTCAGCACTAAAGTCAGAATCATTCAGGCCATTTTATTCCCCATTACCATGTATGGATGTGAGAGCTGGACAGTGAAGGAAGCAGACAGAAAGAAAATCAACTCATTTGAGATGTGGTGCTGGAGAAGAGTACTTAGGATACCATAGACGGCCAAGAACACAAACAAATGGGTCCTTGAACAAACCAGAGCTCTCTTTGGAAGCCAAGATGATCAAGTTGAGACTATCGTACTTTGGCCACACCATAAGAAGGCCTGGATCACTAGAAAAAACAATAATGCTAGGAAAGGTAGAGGGTACAAGAAAGAGAGGAAGAACACAGCCCAGATGGATAGACTAAATCAGAAGTGGGGGGTTTACAGACATGGGCCTGCAGGACCTGAGCAGAGCAGTGGCAGAAAGGGATACTTGGAGATGTCTCATCCACAGGGTTGCCATGAGTCGGAATCAACTCAAAGGCAGCTAACAATAACTATAGCTACTGTCTTCTATTGAGTGGTGTCACTAGGGATGGTGTCATCTGGTGCAGTAACTCAAGGTGTCACACACACACCATTGAACTCATCCCGTACCACAGGGGTAGGCAACCTTTCCCCTTTAAGGGCCGAGGGACTTCAGCTCCCAGAAGCCTCAGCCATGTTGGCCAATAGTCCCATGTTGGCCAATAGTCCCATGTTGGCCAATAGCTCCTGGGATTCTGGGAGCTGAAGTCCCTCAGCCCTTAAAGGGGAAAGGTTGCCTACCCCTGCCGTACCACATCATACAGAATTCTTAGTAATGGTGTTTTGTTTTGTTTTTGCACCAATGTTATTCATAAATCGTAATATCTGTGTATCACTGGATGTAACAGTAATAGCTGTAGCATAAACAACTACCGGTAGCAAAATTAAAAGTATACATTTAAATTACAATATCATATGTACAGCCTAAATGTATTCACATGTACATAGTTTCATGTGGTTAAAGTTTGAATTGGATAAGATATGATGTTTTTAAAGAAAATTTTAAAAGAACAAAATATATATATACTTTTTAAAAAATTAAAATTTAAAAAACATGGGACTCTCCTTTCTCCTCCCACTGAATCTCACCCCACTCACACCATTGCCCCAGCATTTAAAGGGATGCAGGCAAATGCCACAGCCTTTTTCTGACCAAAGGCAGATGTTTGGGTTGGGTAGCAGTGGTGTCACCTTCCCATAGGATGTCACCTGGTGCAGTCCACACACCTCAAGCGATGCCCCTGCTGCTACTTGCACACCTCTTCCATATTGTATAAACAATACCAAAATATTGACTAAGGGATAGGGAACCTATTCCCTTCCAGGTGTTTTATACTACAGTTCCCATCAACCTCACCCAGCGTGGTTAGCAGGGATTGTGAGGACTGCAGTCCGGATCATAGAATCATAGTTGGAAGGGGGGGGGGGGTACCAGATGCTCAGCCATTCATATCTTTCAAGACCAGACTGCATGCTAACGACAGTCACATGCATCTTTCTCTAGACTTTAAAAAAAAGGAAGAAAAACTAAAGAAACCCCATCTTCAGAAGGCAGCTAACTAGAGTGGATGGTCTGCAGATGGGAGAGGAGGTGCTCTTTGCCTCCCTGTTGTTTTCCATTCAAATTATATCTTGTTTCCATTCAGATTATGCCCTGCTCTCAGTCAGGTTTTCTGTCCATTGAAGAAAGGCTACATGGGGACAGCAGCTGTGTTCCTTGCAATTTTTAGTTTTGCCCTGTGGCAGAAAATAAAAAATGGCATCTCTTATTGTGAGGGGAACACCTGAATAGCACATAAACAGCCCTAGCTAGTGGATTAAGGAAGCTAACTTTTTTTCCCCTGTGTCATGGATTGTGTGCCTAATGCAGGGATGGGCAGTCTTTTTGCTGCATGTGGCACAGGGACCACACAGAGTTGGCACTGGGTGATGCTTTTAATGAAAGTCAGTGTATACAGGGCCTAGATCTCCTCCTCTCTCCGCATCTGGAATCAGTGCAGTATCACTTTCTGCAATCCCTACAGTTGCTATCCGCTATCACCCTTCAAGAAAAACCCAGGATAGGGTCACCTTAGGGTTGCCATAAGTTTGGAACGACTTTAAAACACACAAAAAAACAACAAGCCACTCAAAGCATTTAGGATATTATGGGATGCAATTTTGAATACATCCATAAAATTATTCTCAGTAGGTTTCCACAGCCTCTACCCTGTGGCAATGGCACTGCCAACAGTGATTCCCACCTTAAAGGATCTTAGCAATAGGCTTAGGAG